TGATTTGCCCAGTGCTGTCATTTCCACGTATGTCACTTCCACTAAGCCTCAGAACACCCTTAGGACTGCTAAGTGGTCACGCAGTTCTTCCGTGCACCCCATTCCACAGAGCAATCAAGTCCACTTGCCCTGAGCCACACTAAATGGTTCTTGTGCAACACACTGCAGGAACTGCCTCACAGCTCCCAAAATTTCTTCATACCTGCACCACAGGGCTTGTGAAATCTGAGTAAACAAATGCCTTCGAGCCTGTCTCACTATCAGAGGAACTTCTCCACCACAGCAGAAAAGGCTTGCTCAGGGCATTCCTCATAGTGGTGGTCATTGCACCCATACACAAAAAATAAAGCAGAATCTCAAACCAGAGACACTATTGCTCTAATGCAACGTGGATTGTGGAATGTGACGTGTGTCATGGTTTAAAGCAGAGGTTAACAGCAGAAGATTTTCATCATTACTAACATAACACGTGTGTGAATTCCTGGTCTGCACAGCAAAACCAAAGCAAGGCTTGGTATTTACTGTTTGCAGATTCTATTACAGTTCTGGATATCCCACACCTGGTGGTGAAGACAACTGCACAGGCGAGTAGTCGACATCAACAAAGCTAATTAGCTGGTAGATCCCACTGCTTACCTTTTCAGCATGCAAAATTGTGGAATTCCCACTGAAAAAACCTCGCCTGTCGGATTCCAAGCTCGCTTCTTGGAAGCAGGCCAAAGAAAACCACCCAGTGTTAGAGTAAGAAGGAACCAAATTCTACTTTTACACTACTTAAGATTTTAAAGCAACCAGAAACGTCATCAGTGATGTTTCACTTGCTCAGGTGTCTTGACAAATCCTCTCCACACACTATTTGCTAACCAGAATATATTTCCCTCCCCCATATTAAATATAATGAATACATTTAATATACAACTTTCATTCCAGACAGCATGAATATATGGCAAGAAGTGTCACTGGGCTAGAGCATTTTGATTTCACATTTCTTGCCATGTATTCAAGCTGATTGGCCTGATAGCTGTAGTACTGAGTATGTGTCAACTACTCCTTATCATCTCAGATACACCATTACTCCCAAGAATGGAGAGTAGTGGCTGACTTAAAATGATATTTCTGCAGGAATCATCCCTCTTTCAAGCGAGGAAACTGCTGCCTCCCAGGAGTCGAACTGAAGCAGTTCTCATCACACTGATGTCTTTAGCATAAGCAAACATTCAGTTATAATTCTAAAGTAATGGGCTACAGAGGCCACATCCTGAGTTCATGACTGGAAGATACATGATGAGCCCATAGGGAAGATGAGGAAAAGCTGAAAAACTTCTTACTGACTATGGTGATACATTATTTCCTGCTGATGTCTGAATGACTGCTCTGTGGATTAGTTCAAGTAACTCCTGAGAAGACATTAAACATGAAGACAGAGTGTTGTCAAGACATTAGCAGCTGAGAGTATCCTCTGAGCTCCTCTCCTGGGTCTCATCAACCCACAGTTCACACTGTATCTGTGGAGCTGGAACAGACTGTACTTCTGCTAAACTGTGTTTTAAAACAGGCAGATGCACCAGCATTAGATTGCAGTTACCTACTCCCACAACACACTGCCTGAACTGGCTAAAGAAAGAGCACGTGGAGAAGCAGAATGTGTTACCTGTGGGCAGAGAGGGAAAAGCATCCACAGAACGACAAAGTTCCTCGGTGTTTTCAGCACTGTGTGGAGGCACGAAGAGCTCTGCCGGATCACAAATAGAGGGAAGGTCCAACACACTGCTCTCCTCTGAGTTAACACTTGGTGACATCTCTGTTCCTTCCATGGTCCTGCTGCAGACAAAAATGCAACTGAGCTGGATTTTTAGAGCACAAAAATCTAAGTAGAAGTCAACACAAATGATTTGGGATTGCTGTACCTCTTTATGAGCTGCGAGGAATTGTTTTAGCACAATCATATTTCATTTAAAAAAAGAAGCGCAAATTTAAAGATGTGAAGAAAGAACAACAGTGAATCCTATAGACAACAGCCCTCAGCCCTGATAACTAGGAGTCCACAATAAACCTGGTTTTCTTCAAGGCTTCCCAGAAGTACAGACACAGGCCCCAAAACTAGGAAGCCATGGAGTATACACCCTCCAGGGTTATACTATGTGTGCAATTTAGAGAGATATGTTCTACAGGGTCCCTTTCCACTGATGCTTCCAGAAGTCTCAAGTTAAACCCACCCTTCTTGCCTATGTTCACTGGCAGAAAGAAAAAGCATCTTAAAACTTGGCAGTCTCAGTCTCACGGGGTTGTGGAGACACCTGGGCAGCTACATAGTATACCCTGTGCATAACACTTTGGAAAGGTGATTCTGTGCTGCATAAACTTTTAGCTAAGATGCACCTCTGACCTTTCAAAATGCTGAGGAACTCACTAATGAAGAGAGAGTGGCAATGTTGGCTGTACTACCAGAGAAGAGCAGCTGCCTTGCCTTGGAAGGGCAAGGTCCATACATTCACAGGAAGTTTCCAGGGAAAAGGGAGTGGAAGGTTAAAAACAAAACAAAGGACACAACCCTCTTCCCCAGACCGGTCACTGAAGAAGGAAGCTTCTCCTCCCTTGCTCTTCAAGTCCCAAAACATAAACAATCTGTGCATAAGGAACACATAACAGGAGAAACTTTCCTCACATATTGTGTTCACGATGCGTGCTACTTTTTAAGTACAAGTAAATTTTAGAGATCTGCCTCTTTCAGTCATTGGTCTGGAAAAAACTCCCAAAACTCCAAAAACCCACACCAAACCCCCAGTGAATTTTATCCCTTCAAGGGTGAGTGGCAAATTACAGCAACAGGAGCTGCTGCTCTGATACCAGACCGTCATTGATAGGGCTGCAGTGGTCCTGGCTGTCTCTGTCAGTTGCCTGTGCTGGTCCCCTTCCTTGTCTGGCCACAAGAGAACTAACAACATATGCAACCATGTTTTGATCAGGTTTATATAAAACAAATCAGCTGTATTTTAAAAAAAAAAAAAAAAAAAAGAGTTTTCCCCTAGATCAGCTCCCTCTAGTTCTCCTAGGTCAAGTACACAGCAGTCCTACTCCCAAAAGTGATGGTGAGACCTGTTTGTGCGAATAGGCTCAGCCCTGGGCCTTCAGGCACATGAAAGAGAGGCACTATCATCTCTGTGCCATACCTGGTAAGAGCAAACAGTCCCCTTGGGCAGAGTCCAGGAGCAAAGAGTCTGTTACTGCTTCAGGATTCCCTCATTATTCCCTCGTGGTTTGTCAATCCCATCTTGCTGGAATGAAACAAACAGGTCAGTTAGATGCTTCACATCAGCTGATTTGGCTGATGGACAGTGTGACCTTTCAAACTACATATGCCAGCCAATATCAACAGTCAGTCATCAGGTACACCCCTGTTTGTTGGGTCTGGCACAGAGGAAAAGTTTTCCTAGGAATCAGAAACAGCACATTTAGTAAGGCCCTGGAATGCTTTTGACAGCAGTGGAGATCTCCTGGAAAAGGGTTGGTCTATTCTAGAAATAAAATCAAGGGTTTCTATACAAGAAGCTGCCAGATTGGGCTGTTTATTCAAAACCCATCAAGCAGAGAAGCAAATTAAAGCTGGCAACCTTCCCTCCCTCCTGTGGAGATCAGGTATTTCCCCAACAGGTTTATCTCACAGTGCCTCGACGTCAACAGATAGCCTATACTGTGTCAAACCTCAACCAGGAAACGTGTTTTAAGAGGGCCACATAACCCATCCTGTAGAGTAAACCACAGGCTCACAAAACCCAAATCCTGTTTCCCACCCTCTCCCATTACCACCATTATTTTCAGCGAGCAACCAGGAGTAGTTTCAGGAGGAAGCCTGATTTTCCTCTGGGCCACCCTCAAATGCTACCAGGCATTATCCAAGGGTGCCACCAGTCCTGCATAAGCTTTCCCAGCTGGCAGCACACCCGGAGGGTGCAATGGGTGAAGGCGGGGTGCGAGGCGGTGGCCTTACCCACTGCCCTGCTCAGCTGGTTTGGGCGGATGCAGGTGAGGGGGTTCTCTTCCTCCCGGTGTCCTTTCTCTCCCCTTCTCCTGCAGGCAGACACGGGATTATTTCAACAACCGCTCCCTTGGGGGTGGGGGACAACAAGGGGAACACAGGGCGAAGCAGGCCCCCCTACCGCCGGAGCACTCCGCGGCCTCGGCACGGCCGCTGTGCCCACCCCCTCACCAGTCCCCGGGCAGGAACGCAGCTGCATTAAATATAATGAATACATTTAATATAATAACTTTATTCCAGACAGCATGAATATATGGCAAGAAGTGTCACTGCTAGAGCATTTTGGATTTCTCACATTTCTCTGCCATGTATTCAAGCTGATTGGCCTGATAGCTGTAGTACTGAGTACATGTGTCAACTACTCCTTATCATCTCAGATACATCATTCCCAAGAATGGAGAGTAGTGGCTGACTTAAAATGATATTTCTGCAGGAATCATCCTCTTCAAGTGAGGAAACTGCTGCTCTCCCAGGATCCGAACCGAAGTGTTCTCATCACACTGATGTCTTTAGCATAAGCAAACATTCAGTTATAATTTTAAAGGAATACACAGAGGCCACATCCTGAGTTCATGACTGGAAGATACATGATGAGCCCCATAGGGAAGATATGAGGAAAGCTGAAAAACTTCTTACTGACTATGGTGATACATTATTTCCTGCTGATGTCTGGAATGACTGCTCTGTGGATTAGTTCAAGTAACTCCTTCTGAGAAGACATAAACATGAAGACAGAGTGTTACAAGACATTAGCAAAGGAGAGTATCCTCTGAGCTCCTCTCCTGGGTCTTCATCAACCAACAGTTCACACTGTATTCGTGGAGCTGGAACAGACCAGCCTCTGCTGCTAAACTGTGTTTTAAAACAGGCAGATGCACCAGCACTAGATTGCAGTTACCTACTCACACAACACACTGCCTGAACTGGCTAAAGAAAGAGCATGTGGAGAAGCAGAATGTGTTACCTGTGGGCAGAGAGGGAAAAGCATCCACAGAACGATAAAGTTCCTCGGTGTTTTCAGCACTGCATGGAGGCACGAAGAGCTCTGCCGGATCACAAATAGAGGGAAGGTCCAACACGCTGCTCTCCTCTGAGTTAACACTTGGTGACATCTCTGTTCCTTCCATGGCCCTACTGCAGACAAAAATGCAACTGAGCTGGATTTTTAGAGCACAAAAATCTAAGCAGAAGTCAACACAAATGATTTGGCATTGCTGTACCTCTTTATGAGCTGTGAGGAATTGTTTTAGCACAATCATATTTCATTTAAAAAAAGAAGCGCAAATTTAAAGATGTGAAGAAAGAACAACAGTGAATCCTATAGACAACAGCCCTCAGCCCTGATAACTAGGAGTCCACAATAAACCTGGTTTTCTTAAAGGCTTCCCAGAAGTACAGACACAGGCCCCAAAACTAGGAAGCCATGGAGTATACACCCTTCAGGGTATACTATGTGTGCAATTTAGAGAGATATGTTCTACAGGGTCCCTTTCCACTGATGCTTCCAGAAGACTCAAGTTAAACCCACCCTTCTTGCCTATGTTCACTGGCAGAAAGAAAAAGCATCTCAAAACTTGGCAGTCTCAGTCTCACAGGGTTGTGGAGACACCTGGGCAGCTTCATAGAATCATAGAATCATAGAATCATAGAACAGATTGGGTTGGAAAAGACCTCCAAGATCATCAAGTCCAACCCCTGATCCAACTCTAATTACTATATCATGGCACTAAGGGCCATGTCCAATCTCTTTTTAAAAACTTCCAGGGATGGTGAATCCACCACCTCTCTGGGCAGGCCGTTCCAATGCCTGATCACCCTCTCTGTAAAGAATTTCTTCCTAACATCTAACCTAAACTTCCCCTGGCAGAGCTTGAGCCCATGTCCCCTTGTCCTGTTGTTGGTTGCCTGGGAGAAGAGACCAACCCCCACCTGGCTATAACTTCCCTTCAGGTAGTTGAAGAGAGTGATGAGGTCACCTCTAAGCCTTCTCTTCTCTAGACTAAACAACCCCAGCTCCCTCAGCCTCTCCTCATAGGACTTGTGCTCAAGTCCCTTCACCAGCCTGGTTGCTCTTCTCTGGACCCGCTCCAGCACCTCAATATCCTTCCTGAACTGAGGGGCCCAGAGCTGAACACAATACTCAAGGTGCGGCCTCACCAACGCAGAGTACAGGGGAAGGATCACTTCCCTGCTCCTGCTGGTCACACTGTTCTTGATGCAGGCCAGGATGCCATTTGCTTTCTTGGCCACCTGGGCACACTGCTGGCTCATGTTCAGCTTCCTGTCAATCAGCACCCCCAGGTCCCTTTCCACCTGGCTGCTCTCCAACCACTCTGTCCCCAGCCTGTAGCGCTGCAGGGGTTGTTGTGGCCAAAGTGCAGGACCCGGCACTTGGCCTTGTTGAACTTCATCCCATTGGAGTCAGCCCATCTCTCCAGTCTATCCAGGTCCCTCTGCAGAGCCCTCCTGCCTTCTGGTAGGTTGACACTCCCTCCCAACTTGGTGTCATCAGCAAATTTGCTGATGATGGACTCAATCCCCTCATCTAGATCATCGATAAAGATGTTAAACAGGACTGGGCCCAGCACTGATCCCTGGGGACACCACTGGTGACCGGCCGCCAGCTGGATGCAGCCCCGTTCACCAGCACTCTCTGGGCCCGGCCCTCCAGCCAGTTCTTAACCCAGCACAGAGTGCCCCTGTCCAAGCCATGGGCTGCCAGCTTTTCCAGGAGTATCTTATGGGAGACAGTGTCAAAGGCTTTGCTGAAGTCCAGATAGACCACATCCACAGCCTTCCCCTCATCTACCAGGTGAGTCACCTGATCATAAAAGGAGATCAGGTTGGTCAAACAGGATCTGCCTCTCCTAAACCCGTGCTGGCTGGGTCTGATCCCTTGTCCATCCTGTAGCTGCTGTGTGATTGCACACAGGATGATCTGCTCCATAACTCTGCCAGGCACCGAGGTCAGGCTGACAGGCCTGTAGTTACCAGGGTCAGCCTTGCAGCCTTTTTTATGGATTGGGGTGATATTTGCCAACTTCCAATCATGTGGGACCTCCCCAGTGAGCCAGGACTGTTGGAAGATAATGGAGAGCGGCTTGGCAAGCTCTTCTGCCAGCTCCTCATTACCCTAGGATGGATCCCATCTGGTCCCATAGACTTGTGAGGATCCAGGTGGCTCAGTAAGTCACTAACTATTTCCTCCTGGAATACAGGGGGCTATTTGGTTTCCTCTCTGTCTACCAGCTCCAGAGGCCAGTTGCCTTGAGGGCCACCTGTCTTATTGGTAAAAACTGAGGCAAAGTAGGTGTTAAGTACCTCAGCCTTCTCCTCATCTCTATTAACTATGTTTCCCTCCGAGTCCATCAAAGAATGGAGGTTTTCTTTGCCCCTCCTTTTGTTATTAATGTATTTATAGAAGGACTTTTTGTTATCCCTAACAGAAGTGGCCAATTTAACTTCAAATTGCGCTTTTGTATCCCTGATTTTCTTTCTGCATGATCTAGCTGTCTTCCTGAATTCTTCGTAAGTAGCAAGCCCTCTCTTCCATAGTCGATAAACTCTCTTTTTATCCCTGATTTGCTTCAGAATTTCCCTGTTTAACCAGGCTGGTTGTCTTCCCCGCCGGCTTGCCTTTCGGCACACCGGTATGGCCTGTTCCTGTGCACTCAAAACTTCCTGTTTGAAGCACATCCATCCCTCCTGGACTCCCTTGTTTTCAAGGGTTGTTTCCCAGGGTATGCTCTGGACTAGACTTCTCAATAGGTCAAAATCTGCCCTCCGGAAGTCCAGCGTAGAGGTTTTATTGTTGTTTCTCCTTGAATCTCTGAGTATTGAAAATTCTATTATTTCATGATCACTATTTCCTAGGCGGCCTTCAACCACTATATCTCCCACCAGCTCCTCTCTGTTTGTAAACAGCAGGTCTAGCGGGGCCTTACCCCTGGTAGGTTCATTTACCAGTTGATGAAGGAAATTGTCCTCTATACACTCCAGGAAATTCTTAGACTGTCTCTTCTCTGCAGTATTGAGCTCCCAGCAGATATCTGGCAGGTTAAAGTCACCTACAAGGACAAGGGCTGACAATTTTGAGACATCCGCCAGCTGCTTGTAGAATAATTCATCCTCTTCATCATCCTGGTAGGGCGGTCTGTAACAGACACCCATGATGATGTCAGTCTTGTTGGTCTTCCCCCTGATTCTGGTCCACAGGCACTCAACCTTATCGTTGCTGACCTCAAGTTCAACAGGGTCCAGAGAGTCTCTAACATATAAAGCCACCCCTCCACCTCTCCTCCCCTGCCTGTTCTTCCTGAAGAGCTTATAGCCTTCCATAGCAGCACTCCAGACATGCGAGTCATCCCACCATGTTTCTGTGATGGCGACTACATCATAGCCTTCCTGCTGCACAATTGCCTCCAGCTCCTCTTGTTTGTTGCCCATACTGCGTGCATTGGTGTACATGCACTTCAGGTGGGCTGTTGATTTAATTCTTAACTCAGGCTTTCCATCCTTAGGCTGATCACTGGAGAGCCCGGTTTCAACCCCTTCCCCTTCAAACCTAGTTTAAAGCCCTCCTAATCAGCCTCGCTAACTTATGGGCTACAGTCCTCTTATTCTTCCTAGAAAGATGAATCCCATCTGATTTTAAGAGACTAGGTACCATGGAGTTTGCTCCATGGTCAAAGAAACCAAAATTTTGATGGTGGCACCAATTCTTTAGCCATCTGTTGAGGAGTTGGGCTTTTTTACTCCTCTCTTTATTTAACTCCTCATCCATCCCAGATAGTACAGGAACTGAGGCAAATATCACCTGTGCTCCTGTCCCCTGAACTGACCGACCCAGTGCTTTAAAGTCTTTTTTAATTATCTTGGCACTTCGTCGATTAATGTCCTCACTGCCAGCCTGGACTATCACCAGAGGATAATAGTCTGAGGGCTGAATTAACTCAGGAAGTCTCCTACTAATATCCCTCACCCTGGCCCCAGGAAGGCAGCATACTTCTCTCTGGGATGGGTCTGGGCGACATATAGGGCCCTCAGTTCCCCTCAAAAGGAGTCACCGACTACAACTACCCTTCTTTTTTTTTTTTATACCTGTGGTTGTAATCCGTCTTTTGGACAGGGCCGAACAAGGAGGCTCTCTAGAGGGATCATCTTGGCTGTCCTCTACCTGACTGTCTGGGTCCAGAGTCTCGTATCTATTCTTCAAGGGCACCCTGAGGGGTGATGGGGGTCTAGAAAGAATTCTTCTACCTCTCCCATTAGGGACCTGTTTCCATTCCCCCCCATCATTTTGGTCTGCTCCATCTGTCTTATGGCAGGAGAGGCAGGGCTTTGCCATCTCCTGTTGGACTTCCTTAGGGTTTAAAAGGGTTTGACTCCACCAGTCGATTTCCTTTTCACTCTCCCTAATGCACCTTAATCTCTCTACCTCTTCCTTAAGTTCTGCTACAAGGCACAGCAAATCACTCACCTGCTCGCATCGTACACAGCTACCTCCTACACCATCCTCCGGTACCAACGCCAGGCTCAGACACTCAGCACACCCAGAGACCTGGGTGGCTGCATCCTTCTTCGAGGGGAGTGTCTGAGCAAACACACTCCTAGTATTAACAGCAGTAACAGTTTTTGTTTTTCTGGAAACCATTGTTAGCTTTAAAAAGCACACTCACCTACAAGAAAAGGGAGCTGGTTGTGCCCTGCCGGCTTGAAATGCCTTGAAATTGTTGTGCCACACCCTGTTAGTCTACTTCTGTGGGGGTGCGTGAGCGAAGTTCGCTCACGCTCCTGGAGGTTCTTATATAGCCTCCCCCAGCACTTGCTAACGAGCCTGACCCACCCCTCACTCACCTTAATTGGTTCTGAGGAAGAGTCAAGCCTGAGCAGCAATGGCCGAGTAGTTCTCCTGGAGGTTCTTATATAGCCTCCCCCAGCACTTGCTAACGAGCCTGACCCACCCCTCACTCACCTTAATTGGTTCTGAGGAAGAGTCAAGCCTGAGCAGCAATGGCCGAGTAGTTCTCCTGGAGGTTCTTATATAGCCTCCCCCAGCACTTGCTAACGAGCCTGACCCACCCCTCACTCACCTTAATTGGTTCTGAGGAAGAGTCAAGCCTGAGCAGTAGTATACCCTGTGCATAACACTTTGGAAAGCTTTGGTTGAGGCATCCCCACACCTCAACATCCTTCTCTCAAGTGTCCTCAACCCATCCACCACCACAGAGGGCAAGAACACGCAGCTGGGTGGAGAGCAGGACAGGGTTGGTGCCACTCAGCTCCACATCAAGGGCCACAGTGGATGGGCAACTCTTTTGGAGAGGATGAAACTGAAGCGTTCCAGTCCAGCAGCTCCATGCACAGTCACACAAGTGTCTGGGGCATAAGAGGAGTGAAATGCAAAAAAACTGGGAGGGTAGGAGCTCCTTCTATTTCAGTAAAGAGTGACAGGACAGAGGAACCAGATCCAATGGTTAGGAAATGGCCTGTGACCTGTCAGGCTCACATTTATCTTCTCTTCTATAAAATGAAAAGGAGGAATTCTTGTCTCAGGGTTATTATCAGTAAGGAATGTCACAGGCACAGAGGGTAAAGAAATCCCCAGAAAGGATTAGTACTGAAAAATAAAGTCAATACCCCCATGAGAAGATTTAAAACAAACAAACAAACAACACCATTCCTCAGGTGATTCTGTGCTGCATAAACTTTTAGCTAAGGTGCACCTCTGACCTTTCAAAATGCTGAGGAACTCACTAATGAAGAGAGAGTGGCAATGTTGGCTGTACTACCAGAGAAGAGCAGCTGCCTTGCCTTGGAAGGGCAAGGTCCATACATTCACAGGAAGTTTCCAGGGAAAAGGGAGTGGAAGGTTAAAAACAAAACAAAGTACACAACCCTCTTCCCCAGACCGGTCACTGAAGAAGGAAGCTTCTCCTCCCTTGCTCTTCAAGTCCCAAAACATAAACAATCTGTGCATAAGGAACACATAACAGGAGAAACTTTCCTCACATATTGTGTTCACGATGCGTGCTACTTTTTAAGTACAAGTAAATTTTAGAGATCTGCCTCTTTCAGTCATTGGTCTGGAAAAAACTCCCAAAACTCCAAAAACCCACACCAAACCCCCAGTGAATTTTATCCCTTCAAGGGTGAGTGGCAAATTACAGCAACAGGAGCTGCTGCTCTGATACCAGACCGTCATTGATAGGGCTGCAGTGGTCCTGGCTGTCTCTGTCAGTTGCCTGTGCTGGTCCCCTTCCTTGTCTGGCCACAAGAGAACTAACAACATATGCAACCATGTTTTGATCAGGTTTATATAAAACAAATCAGCTGTATTTAAAAAAAAAAAAAAAAAAAAAAAGAGTTTTCCCCTAGATCAGCTCCCTCTAGTTCTCCTAGGTCAAGTACACAGCAGTCCTACTCCCAAAAGTGATGGTGAGACCTGTTTGTGCGAATAGGCTCAGCCCTGGGCCTTCAGGCACATGAAGAGAGGCACTATCATCTCTGTGCCATACCTGGTAAGAGCAAACAGTCCCCTTGGGCAGAGTCCAGGAGCAAAGAGTCTGTTACTGCTTCAGGATTCCCTCATTATTCCCTCGTGGTTTGTCAATCCCATCTTGCTGGAATGAAACAAACAGGTCAGTTAGATGCTTCACATCAGCTGATTTGGCTGATGGACAGTGTGACCTTTCAAACTACATATGCCAGCCAATATCAACAGTCAGTCATCAGGTACACCCCTGTTTGTTGGGTCTGGCACAGAGGAAAAGTTTTCCTAGGAATCAGAAACAGCACATTTAGTAAGGCCCTGGAATGCTTTTGACAGCAGTGGAGATCTCCTGGAAAAGGGTTGGTCTATTCTAGAAATAAAATCAAGGGTTTCTATACAAGAAGCTGCCAGATTGGGCTGTTTATTCAAAACCCATCAAGCAGAGAAGCAAATTAAAGCTGGCAACCTTCCCTCCCTCCTGTGGAGATCAGGTATTTCCCCAACAGGTTTATCTCACAGTGCCTCGACGTCAACAGATAGCCTATACCGTGTCAAACCTCAACCAGGAAACGTGGTTTAAGAGGGTCACATAACCCATCCTGTAGAGTAAACCACAGGCTCACAAAACCCAAATCCTGTTTCCCACCCTCTCCCATTACCACCATTATTTTCAGTGAGCAACCCGGAGCAGTTCCAGGAGGAAACCTGATTTTCCTCTGGGCCACCCTCAAACGGTGGAAATGCTACCAGGCATTATCCAAGGGTGCCACCAGTCCTGCATAAGCTTTCCCAGCTGGCAGCACACCCGGAGGGTGCAATGGATGAAGGCGGGGTGCGAGGCGGTGGCCTTACCCACTGCCCTGCTCAGCTGGTTTGGGCGGATGCAGGTGAGGAGGGTTCTCTTCCTCCCGGTGTCCTTTCTCTCCCCTTCTCCTGCAGGCAGACACGGGATTATTTCAACAACCGCTCCCTTGGGGGTGGGGGACAACAAGGGGAACACAGGGCGAAGCAGGCCCCCCTACCGCCGGAGCACTCCGCGGCCTCGGCACGGCCGCTGTGCCCACCCCTCACCAGTCCCCGGGCAGGAACGCAGCTGCAGCGCCTCCAAGGGCAGCCACACGTCTTGGAGGGGGATAAAGGGAAAAGCCAAAAGCACGGCAGGGCTGTCCCGGGCAGGGCCGTGCTTCCACAGCCCGCCTCAGGGCCCGCCCAGCGAGGGCCCTCCCGCTCCGAGCCCGAAATGAAGCGGGCAGGAGCCTCTTAGCCGCGGGCAGGCGCGCCCGGACGGCCCCGGCAGGGCGCTGCGGGGCCACGGGGGCCGGCGAAGCCCTAGAGGACACGGAGCCGGGCCGGAACACGAACCCCCTTGGGCAGCGGCAGACGCGGCCCCTCCCGGGCCCGCAGCCCCGTCTGCGCAGGCGGCGGGCCCGCCCCGCCCGCTGCGGTGTTGGGAGGGGGCGGCTGGGTACTTAGGTGTTTAAAGTCAGGTTTTCCTCAGAGCGCAGTCACCTGGACTTTATTACTCTGCATTCGAAGGGGAGGGGCTTTGACGAGGCAGCAGCCTCACCATGCCGCGCCTGGCAGATGGGTTTCGTTTTGGGCTGCTCAGCGCT